CCCTTTGAGAGGGTTTTTTTTTTCCCCCATCTATCTCTGAAATAAATGCTGATTTAAGAGCGGGGTCTGCTGGTTCAGCAGGCATGAAGTAATTCAAGGGTTGAGCTGTGGGGTTCCTCTCCAGGAGCTATAAAAGCATCAGAGGGGAGCCAGAGTTCCTTTTTTTTTCTTCTGCAAGGGCCAAGAACACAGCACAACTTTGGAGCAGAGAAAAACCCGTTTCTGAGAGATGTCACAGCATCTGGCTGTCAGGGGTTTGGGGACTTTCAGGTCTGGGTGGGGGGTGTTTGGAACAGACCCCACGCAAGGTTTTCCCTTCAAGTGGTGAATCTGAGTGTCCCTAGGTGCCCAAGGCTGTCCAGCAGCTGGGGCTGTGACACTTTTTGGGGTCCCAGTGAGGCTTTGAGGGTTCCTTTTGGGGTGCACTGGGGCACGAGGAGGTGATGGGGGCAGCCGGGAATAACTTTGTCCCTCGATGTCGCTGGAGCAGCCAGCCCAGCACATCCCCAGTGTTTCCCTGAGTGCTGCTGGATTTATTTGCTGTTCCAGGGCAGGAAAGCAGATCCCAGCCCCACAGGATCCATTAATCTCTCTGACCCCGGAGGATTCTCAATTCCACGTGGTTTAATCACCCCCAGCTCCTGCCAGCTGCCGTCTGCCCAGACGAGTTCCTGGCTGTTGGTTCTCTCCCCTCACTCCCATTTTTCCTCCCTGTGAAAAACGAGGTTCACACGTTTTTTATAGAATTTAAAAGTTTAATAAAAAAGACAATTAGGAGATAAAAATTAAGTATACAGATACAGCAAACCTTACTGACAAAGGATTGTCCCTTAAAAACAGAACTCTGCTACACATCCATAAATTCTCATACATGATTCAAACATTCCTCTTAAGATTTTTTGTGTTCTTCTGTTTAGTTTTTTCTTGCCCCCTTTCCAATAAATCAATCTTCTTGGCACCATCCAGCCTTACATTCCCTGATAACAGAAATGCAGTAAATTTCCTCCCCCAGAGCTCTGGTCACTGCTGTCTTCAGAAGATAGTTTATGAATGCAGGGGAGTCTCTAGCTATCTTTGTCAGTCTTTGGGTTATACAAGCAAAAGTAGTTTTTGTTTTAATACTATGCCATAGCTCAACATCTATATGTATTATACCATTATTTCTAAGTTCCATCAATGACAGAAATAAAGGAAACTATATTAATATAGCTAAATTTTCTATTCTAACACATATAACACTCATTATAATATTATAATATGCAAAAAGCCAATAAGATGATATGCATTTATAACAGTCCCCTACCCAATCCCTGTCCCAAAGGCCCCAAGAGCAGGTGCCAGGCAGCGCGAGGAAGGGCAGATGTGCCACAGGATGAAAGGGGAGCTCCCGGAGCCAGAGGGTCTCTGGGGACACCCTGCTGGGAGAGATGGAGACCTCTGTGCGCGGTGTCACCGCAGCCACCGTCCCTCTGCGTCACCCGGCCCGGGGGTGGCTGGCAGGGGTCACCCTGGCCAGGAGGAGCGGGACATTTCCCTCGTCTCTCCCTTCCTGGCGAGACAGATAGCGCTGCTGGAGGCGCTCCAAGGTCACGGGGAAGGAGGTTGCTTTTCCTCAGCAGCTCGGCTTGATGAGCCTGGTCAGCTCCGAGAGGGCTCTGGCGCTTTTCCCGGCAGCTTCTCGCGATCCAGGGGAGTTTGTTTGGATTCCCTGCGGAAAAATGCGGGCTGCAATTCCTGCCGACTGCAGAGGGGTCAAACCTTAACCAGGTGTGTGCAGGAGGATTTTGTGGCTCTGCTGGGGCTGATAAAGAGCGGGGGGTTATCATCTTGTTTAGGGGGTGCTGGACCCTCCCTGGGCATTCCAAAGCTGCTGGCAGATGTGGGAATCCCATTTTGGGGAGCCTGAGCCGTGACAAGTCACAAATCACGTTGTGACACCGGCCTGGAAGGGCCTGGGCGAACCCCCGGGCTTTCCTTTGGAGGCACAGAAGAAGGGGAGTCCCAGGCTGGGCTTTTGTGCTGCTCTCAGAATGACCAAGTGCAAATCAGCTCAGTCACAAGTTCCCTTCTGGCCAGATCTGGGAAATCTTATCTGAGGGGGTGAAATCTACTGGGAAATCTCAGCTTGGGGGCACGTGGCCCCTCCACCCCTTTCCTGGGTGGTTTGTGAAGGCCTGGGGGTGGCTTTTGGATCCCTTTGGTGGCACTTGTGCTGTGCTGTCCTTTGGCAGAACCCAGGGGGGAAGTGGTGCCAACTGATCAGTGCCCCCAGACTCCATCCAGCTCGAAGAGATGAGCCTGGAGAGCTGGCAAGTCCCCAAACTCCGCAGGGCTGTGGCCTTGGGAAGGCACAGTTGAGGTTTTTTGGTTGCTGCCTGCCAGGAAAATGAGCTGGGGAGACGGGGGGGGAGAGAGAATTTGGGTGGAGAGCAGAAAATGCAGCAGCTGATAAAGGATCTGCTCTGCTCGCTTCCCTCCTCACTCTGTCAGCTGGGGAATGAAGGGCCTGTCAGCACCAAGAGGAGCTGTGAGGGGAATTTCACCCATTCCAAACCCAGCCTTAGCAGCCAAAATGAGGAATGGGAGCTCAGATCTTCCAAAAGTTCTGTCCCAACGTGCCGGGCCATCAGTCCCTCCCACAGCTTTAGCGCAGGCTCTTCCAGCTCTGGGCCAAAATGTGCAGCGTTCTCATCTTGCCTGGGAAGGGATCGTGGAAAAGGGGGATGAGGAACATCCTCATCCTCTGTCCAGCTCAGCAGGGTCCCTCTGGCAGCGCTGGGAGCATCGCACCCACTTTGTGGCACAGCAAAGGTCTCCCCTGCCTTAGCCAGGGCTAGGAATTCTCTGCTTGTGCCTTTTTTTCCTCGGAAGATCCGGCTGTGCTGGTGCTTCCAAGGGTCACATTCCTGGCCGAGGCTGAGGGAAGGTAACAGATCTGTTTTTGTGGAGAAAATCACCACACGCCTGCTCGGGTGCCAAGTGCAATCTGAGCTCTCTGGGTTGCCTGGGCCACAAACATTCAGTCTGTGATGAGTAAAACTGTTCCTCTTGGGGAAAAAAATCTGTGCTTCTGACAAGATTCCTGGGGGAGGCTGCCTCCTGATCTGTGCTGGAAGCGAGGCGCATGATCTGGGAGAAAGCTGCTCACGAGTTGTGCTGGAGAAGTTCTGATCCCAGAGAGGAGCAGATGGGAATTCCTGCCTGGAATCCGACGGGCCTGAGCAAACAAACCCAATCTCCGAGCTCCTTCCCCGCTTTGGGAAGTGTGTCCTTCCTTCCAACACCTCCTGCAAAGCAGGCCAGGGCTGGAGGCAGCTGGGAATGGGAAGGGTTGGGTTTTCTTGGGGGTTGTGTGATCCACATCCTGCCCATCTCCTGGAACCGCTTTCCCAGGCGGTGATCTCACCGTCCTGGGAGCCAGCTGCTTCCCTGGCTGCTCTCAAGGATTTTAGGGAGGAATCCTTCCCTCTGAGCATCCCTGGAAGTGCTCCAGGATGGGCTTGGAGCACCCTGGGTTTGTGGGAGGTCCCTTCCACCCCAAACCATTCTGGGATCCTACAAAAACTCCTAAAATCCTGAGGGAGCCTGAGGCTAAAATTTACCCACAGGTGGAACAAAAAACCCCCAACCTCAGAGTCAAAACCAGGCCGAGCCCCCAGCTGCTGGGGAGGGGTAAAAGAAGAAACCTCCTTTCTCAGGAGTGTTTTCTGGGGAAAAAACTCCTTTCTCAGGAGTGTTTTTGGGGAAGAAATCTCCTTTCTCAGGAGTGTTTTTTGGGGAAAAAACTCCTTTCTCAGGAGTGTTTTCTGGGGAAAAAACTCCTTTCTCAGGAGTGTTTTTGGGGAAGAAATCTCCTTTCTCAGGAGTGTTTTTTGGGGAAAAAACTCCTTTCTCAGGAGTGTTTTTTGGGGAAAAAATCGCCTTTTTTCCTGCTGGAAACAAAGTGCTGCCGGGGTCTGGCAGCTCGGGGAGCAGCCAGGGCACTGCAGCTGCCCCTGGGGCAGTTGGGGGTGAGCTCAGAGCGCTTCGGGGCTGGGAATTACCACGGCCAGAAGCGAGCGTGTGTCTTCCCCCTGTAATTACCCCGGCAGCTGTGTGGCCAGAAGGAAAGGTGAACCCCACACACACAAAGAGGAGCCGGGAAATCCCTGTGGTTCCTTCAAATTCACCATTAGCCGGCTCGCTGATTTATTTTTGCCTCCTTCAGAGTGCCCCCCTTGCCCTGAGCTGAGGGGGGCTGAGCTGAGCTTCAAGCGCCACTTTAAAGGGAGCAGCTGCGCCTCATTCCCGGTGGGCTTCTCCCATTCCCGTCACGTCCCAGCCCGCTCTCCGTGCTCGCAATTCCCTGCTTTTCCCATTAACCAGCGGCACAAAAGCTCCCGGGAGGACCTTTGGGATGAGGAGGTGGCTGTGCCACTCGCGGGGTGTCAAGGTTCGGGGCGCCCGGGCAGGGCTCCCGGCGTGTCCCCATCCATTCGGGGATGGCATTCCCGTGCTCGGGAGAGGCGGGTGTGATGCAGCCCTGCTGCAATCCCGCTCCTCTGGATCATCCAGCTGTTGCGCTCCCGCTCCAGCTGTTCCGCTCCTGCCACCGCACCGGCTCCGGGCACAGCCCCGCGTCACACCAGCCCCTGCCACCGCTCTCTGCCCCCCTTCTCAGCCCTGTTTCCCTTCTCATTTCACTCGTCCCAACCTTTATTTCCCCTCCCCAGCCCCCGTGGGAAGTTCTTCGCGAGCCTCGGCCCAGCTGCGGCTTTTCGGGTGACAAAGCCACCGACCCCCGCACCTTCCTCTCACCGAGCAGAAGGAGGAAAACCCCAAAAAAGACAAAAAAAAAAAAACCAAAAAAACCCCCAGAGACGGAGCGCCGGAGCTCAGGTGCTCAGGCGAGTGGCTGGGGGGGGTGTTTCATTCCATTTTCCTTCCGTAGCGAGTCCCGCCCTCTCCTCGCCATTGGGTGCTCGCAGCCCTTTTGTACGCGGCGAGATGCAGCTGTCAGCCCGCCCGGCTCCCCATCCCCGCTCGCTGCCGGACTAGGAATGGGCAGGAGGAGCTCGCCCGTTGCCCTCCTGGTGGCCCTGTGGCTCGGCCAGCTGGCTACGTGGGCAGCGGGACGCCCCAAGGTGAACCCCAGGATCATCGCGGCTCCCCAAGGTGAGTCCCGGGCTGCACCCTCGGGATGCGGCTGCTCCCCGCGCCGGCTCCTTCCTACCTGGGTCTCATCCTTTGAGCAGTAGTCAGGCTATTTTTATTTCTTTTGTGTCCTCTGGGAGGCTTTTGGCTCTCCTTAAAAGCCCGTGGGATGAGATTGCTGCATTTTAATTGGATTTTTAGACCTTTCTTTCCTTTTCAATTTTTTTTTTTATGTTTTAAAAGCATTTCCCCACGACCTTCGGACATTAAAGGCTGTCAAAAAGCATTTCCCCCCGCCCCCTACCAGATGGGTGTATTAAAGGCTGTCAAAAAAGCTCTGAGGCGGCCACAGGACACATTTCCTAACTTGCAGTTCTCCAGAAAGGAGAAGTGTATTTACATAGCTAATGCACTTATTCATCTCCTTTAACTCGCCCTGCTCGCCGCAGACGAGTTTGGTGAGTAAATATTAGCCGAGGACCCCCGGTCTCGGGGAAAAATTTACAAGCGGCACGTAAGGACTTTTGTAACCAGATCGGATCTCGGCAAAGCCGAACAAAGAAATGTTTTCAAGGCTCCCGAGCCTGGTGTGTCGGCGCTGGTTTTATCCCGAGTTTTGGGATGAATCCCCTCCAGGCTGGCTGGAACAAAGACCCCGTTGGCTTTTGCCGGGCGGGCTCTGCAGCACAAGGGCTCCTCTGTGCTCCTCATTCCCTGGCAACTTCCGAGAACGCCCATTTCCCCCGCTCCGTTCCGTGCCATCTGTTACCCTCGGCTGGCATTTGCGGTGCCCTTCGCCGGGCTGGGGGGGCGGTGGTGGCTCGGGGGTGGCCTCCGCTGTCACCTTGTCACACAAAGGGGAGCGGCACCGGCGCGCAGGGCAGGGGAGGCTGCTCCGCTATGGCGTCACCGGCGCTGGCTGCGGGAAAAGGGAGCGGGAGTGGGACGGGAGCTGCTGCTGCTCCTCCGGGAATGTTCCACCCCGCTCCCTACAGCGCCGAGGCTGGGAATTACTGGGGCAAAGGGAGGGATCGGATTGCCACCTGTGTCCCTGCACAATGCTGTCACTCGTGTCTCACACCCACAAAGGCCTCCAGCACCTGTCACCGAAACTCGAGGTCACCTGGCTCGCCTTATCTCCGTCCTGCGCTTATCTGTGCCTCTGTTTCCGAGGGCTCGGCAGCGCTCCGGGCCAAGCGGGATTGCCATCGGCGAGGGATGGGAGAGAGAGCTGTGTCCTATTTAGAAGCTCCTTGGTGTCACCTCTACCCTCCCCAAGCAGGGCTGTGGGCGTGGGAGGAGGAGGAGGATGAAGAAGCGGCCCGGGGGTTGCTGCGGTGCGAAGTTGCGGGTGCCCCGGGCAGGCTGAGAGCTCCGCACGTTGCCGGGCTCAGCACGTGGCTGCTGCAGCTGCAGCCCCAGCCCGTGCGGGGGGGAACGGAGCCTCATTTGGGGCTCATTTCCATCTCGGCCCCCCGTTCCTTGGCGGTGGGGAGCGGCGTTGCGGGCCCGCTGCTGTGTTTGCAGGGCTGGCCCCGGGCTCTGCGGGAGCTGGCAGCTCTCCCCTAATTGAATTTCTTACACGCCACGGCCCCGCAGCAGCGGCAGGTGATGCGGCTCGCCAAAGGCACCTCGGCGTGCTCCAGCCCCGAGCAGGGCGAGGGTGCGGATTTTAGGAGCCGGGCTCTCCGCAGGGGCCGTCCCTCCCTGCCCGCAGCGCAGGAGATCGGGCAAAGCCGCAGCTGCTTTTCCGTCCCTCAGCAGCACCGTGCCCCACGGCGAGGCTGTGACACGGAAAGTCTCAACTGCGCTGGATTTGGTGACATCCGGAGCCTCCCCGGCTCCGCCAAACCCTGCCCTCCCTGCAGCCTCCGCTGCTTTGGCCCCCAGCTCCCCGTAAGAAATGGGCGAGGGGACGTGGGGAACTGGGACAAAATGTCCCCAGGCCGAGGTGGCACAGCCCTGAGCTCACACCTGCAGACAAAGGAACACGGCGGCTCCGTCCTGCTGCTCGCAGCTCCTGCATGAGCAATTCCCAGCACTCGGGAGCCCGCTGTTCCGCAGCTCCAGGGCCCCCGCGCAGGTGGCCAGCTCCGGGTCATTGCCGGCCACTCCTGACTCCGCAGGATTCCTTTCTCCTTTTGCCCGGAGCAAGTTCAGCTCCACATCTCTGCTCGGGCCGTTTCTGCCGGCAGAGCCTCTGCCCCGTTCCCTTTCTCGGGGTGTCTCCCGGCCGCTGTCCTTGCCCGTGTCCGGCCGAGGGGGATCCGAACGCCGCGCAGCGCTCCCACCACCCCTTCCCTCCCCATCCTCCCTGGATTTTTTCCCCCCTGTCCGGCTGGGCTGTTCTTTGGGAAAGCGCACGGAGCTCTCGCTCCCGGTCACTGCTGCCGTGTCCCGCATCTCTCGTGTCCCGGCAGCGGGAGGGGACACCCGGCCCGGCTGTCTGCTGACCGGAAAGTCACCGAGCATCAGAAAACGCTGAGCGTGGCACGGAGCCTGCGGGCGCGCTCGGGCTGCTGCAGCCCGCGGCCTTGGCAGCGCAGGAGCTGCTGCCACTCTCAGGAATTTGTCCCTGCTCAGCCACACGTGCAGACATCCGAGGAAAACTCGCGTCTTCGAGGGGTGGGGATGGGCTCCGGCGGTTTAATTATCCCCAGCTCATTAACAGGTGAGCTGGAAGCCGGAGGCATCGGGTTCTGAGATAAGCGGGTGGGAAAAGCAGGATTATCCAATTGACCTCTGGCTGCCTCGGCGGGGTGAGCTGGTCCCAGCCCGCCCCGGGATACAGCGGGGCCCTGGAATGGCAGCTCCGGGAATCCGTCTGGGCTGCCTGGAACAGCTCCTGGGCTTTGCTTGGCTTGGCTGCCTCCTTGTCTGGGAGAGCTGTGTCAGCAGGGCTGGCGGGGAGCTCTCCGTGCCCTGGCTGCTCCCCCCGGAACCTTCTGGAGAGAGCTGCAGAGAGGCTTGGGGTAAGGGATGGAGCGACGGGACACAGGGAACGACTTCCCACTGCCGCTAGGCAGGGATGGATGGGATGTTGGGAAGGAATTCCTGGCTGTGAGGGTGGGGAGGGGCCGGGACGAAGTTCCCAAGGAGCTGTGGCTGCCCCTGGATCCCTGGAGGTGCCCAACACCGTGGCTTGGAGCAGCCTGGGACAGTGCAAGGTGTCCCTGACCATTCAGGGATTGGGATGAGAGGGATCCTTAAAGGTCCTCATCTCTTCCCGTTGTGGCAAACGAGGGATTTCTGGTGCCAGCAGCAGCTTCTTCTCCTCAGTGACAGCATCTCTGGGGTTTTTTTGTGGTCCCATGGTGTGAAACATCTTTGTAGGACACTTTCCCACAAAGCTCTCGGAGCATCACCATTTCCAGGAGAAAGCTGCTTGCTTTCCCAGCAGTGCTATTTTCTCCTTTTTCACAGGGTTGGGGGATGCTGGGAGCTGAAAATGTTGGTTGGGGAAAAAAAAAAAAAAAAAAAAAAGGAAAAAGAAAGGAAAAAAATAAAAAAAGAGAAATATGTTTTGCTGTGCGCAGATTGAAAAAGAAGAAAAGCAAACCAAACAAATGGAGTGAATCACAGGCACCTCCTGTTGCAAGAGCACGACACAAAAACAACAGGCAGGGCACAGCTGATGGAAGTTGTGGCTGGAAAAGGGAGCTGGGTGCCAATTCCTGACCAAGCTCCCAGCTCTGCAGCAGCCAATTTGGGGACGGAACTGCTGACAACCGGCCTGGGAAGGTGTTCTGTGGGGGATGCAGCCAGGCTCGGTGCCTTAAATGGGACAGACTAAATTTAAACCCCAGGGCTGGAGTACAAACTAAATCTAAGCTTGAGCACGAAATAAATCTCTAAGTACGAGGTGCTTTTTTAGGGAAAAATCTCGCATCCAGAAAAAGGGCTGGGAGGTGAGCGAGGAGGGGAAATGGGTTCCGTCCGCTGGCCTGTGCCTATTCCTGGCTGCTCCAAAAATAGGGCTGGTTCCTCCTGCTGGGCACCCTTTTCCTGCCAGCCCCAGCTCCGTGGAAAGCCGTGGGATTGCTGCAGGAGCGGGGATGTGGAATCGCTGCCGTAATTCAGGTGTGGGGGACACGGCTTTGGGTGATAAATCCCATTTTTTGTTGACCTTAACCACAGCTCTGCTGCCTGGGGTCAGGGCAGCGATGATTCCACGTCTCGTTATCCGCTGGAGTCGGATATTCCCGTCTGGCAGGTGTGGGGCTGTGGGAGGGAGAGGGTTTTGGGAGTTCTGGGAGTTTCCTTGAGGAATTCGAGGCCAGTCCCAGCCAGACAAACACCTGCCCTCTGGCTGCCCTGCCCACTGCTTTGCTGAGATCTTGGAGTTTCGGGAAGTTGGGTTTCAGATTCCTGCCCACCCGGGGGCTTTCCAAGTCTGGGAAATGAGGAGCTGCAGCCAGGGCTGGGCGTGAGGGCAGTGGGAATGCTGTATCCGGCTGCTGGGGGGGTTCTGTGGCATTCCCTGGCACAAACCCGGAATGTCCCGGGGCTGGCACCTGCCTGGAGCTCACGGCAGGTGCGGGAAGCTGCCAGCAGCAGGAGGAGGCTGGAAGGGCACGGCAGGACCATTCCCGATCCTGCTGGGCCATTCCCAATCCCACTGGGAAGAGCATGGCACAGCCATTCCCAGTCCCACTGGGATCCTTCCCGATCCCTCTGGGAAGGGCATGGTGAGGCCATTCCTGATCCTGCTGGGATCCTTCCCAATCCCACTGAGAAGGGCACAGTGGGGCCATTCCTGATCCCACTGGGAAGAGCATGGCACAGCCATTCCCAATCCCACTGGGATCCTTCCCAGTCCCTCTGGGAAGGTCACAGTTGGGCCATTCCTGATCCCACTGGGCCATTCCTGATCCCACTGGGATCCTTCCCAATCCCTCTGGGAAGGGCACAGCAGGGCCGATCCCACCGGGACCGGGAATGCACACACCCCACCTGTATTCCACAGGGAGAAAACCTCTGGATCTTCCCCCTTGGAGCCTCCCTGGGTGGACACCACAGGG